TGTGGAATACTGCATCCAGTTCTGGTCATCACAATATGACAAAAAAAACATGTCCCAAAGATGTGAGGGGGAATGTCACAAAAAGGTGGCACTGCAATTGTGTTGTCAAATTCCCGCTTTTGTATGCATTCCAGAAACATACTTGTAAGGGAAAAAGATGGCACGATTAAAGAGGAATACCACTGAGAAAATGATAAAGAGTGTGTTGCAGGTTTTCTGCCACTCCAGGTAGTTAAACACCTTTGCAGCCTGTGGAAAAAAAGAGAGAAAAAAACAGTAATTGTTGATATCTATGAAGATTCTCAGTCATCCAGGTGATGGCTGTCCCAAAGATGTTTTTTCAAGAGGCAACTGGACTTTCTGGTTTTTCTTTGAAGATGTTTTGCTTCTCATCCAAGAAGCTTCTTCCGCTCTGACTGGACAGCAGGGAATGGAAGGATTTATACTCCTTGCAGACAGCTGGTCATTTGTACCTTTTAGCAAGTCCTTGAGGCTCCTTAAAGGTTGAGCCACTTGGCTGCAGCCAAGAAAGCTCAACATACATTTGCATCACTCAGGTGACCCTGAGGACACAGATAAATCTATAGGTGATCTTAACAACTCCCTAAAAGAATGCAAATGACCAGCTGTCTGCAAGGAGTATAAATCCTTCCATTTTCCATCATCCAGTCAGATCTGAAGAAGCTTCTTGGAAAAGGAGCAAAAAGTCTTCAAAGAAAAAACAGACAGTCCAGTTGCCTCTTGAAAAAAAAAACTAACACTTTTGGGATAACAAATTGTTGAGTGGTAGAGGCTCCTGCTGTGAGAACACTTGACTTTCAGAATATGATGGCACATTTCTGTGGGTTTCAGCTGCAGCATCTGTATTCTATCTCCCACCAGGATCCTGGGAATTGTAGTTTGCAGAATACAAAAATGAGAAACCTGGACCAGCTTGCAAGCAAAGCCTGATGGAGATATCTTAGTCTCCCACAAGTGAGGGTTAGTTCATTTCCAAATATTTTGTGTTGAATACAGAACAAACATGCTTTCAAACTCAAAACTGGATATCTAAAATTTGAAACAATTTCAGCCCCAATTTTTTTTCAGGCTGCTTCTTTGTCTGAATTATTATTTTATTTTTGTATTTTTTCAACCTTCAAACAAGCCTTTCATATTGGGACTATAACATCAATTATTTAGCTGGTCCCAACACATCTGGCAGATCGCAGGCAAGGGAAGGCTGGTATAAATTCATCTCTAGATCTATTTCCTCTTTCCAAAAAACATGGATGAAGGTTTTTGTTTTTCAAAAAGAAAGAAAGGGGAAGAAAGTATTCATTTTTTTTATCTTAGGCTAGAGGAAGAGTGTTCATGAGTTTTAACTTACATACATCAGAATATCAGGAGCATCGTGTACAATCATGACAAGTGAACCGATAGGGATGAAATTGACACAATAGGAGAAGCCAGTGAGCAAGATGGCGCTTACATGGTGGACAATCAATGCATTAAAATCCTGCAGGAAGATGAGATAACTGGGTTATTGATTTTGTAGCTCCTCCAGGGGGCCCATACACCCCATTATGGGGAAGGGGTTTTGAGTGGAAGTAGACAACGTTGAGTTTCATTGCGTCATTGTTTCATAAATATTTCCTTACCTTTGAGAATCTTGTGAAGAGTATTGGAAATCCTTCCTTCCTTCCTTCCTCCTTTTCCCTTCCCTTCCCTCCCTTTCTCCCTTCACCTTCCCAGCAAAAAAGTATCTGGCTGCTACTGGGTGGAGGAATGTAGCAAGGGATTGCAAGACTGGCTGGGAAACTGTCACACAAAATTGAAAAGGAAGATCATATACTCTCATTAACAGCACAACACAGCAGTGCAGCAGCAGCCAGGAGCTCTGAAACAGGCAGAAGTTCATTGCTTCCAGATTTTGGGTGCATTCCATATGTTAGCCCATTTGAGGTAAACTGTTTCAGAAATTGTTGCCCTGTGATGTACTTAAAGGTAATACTGACAATATTTTTTGTAGCATATAATTTTGCATCTTAAGATGCACCAAACTAGCGCCCTTGTTTTGTTTTGTTTTACTTTTCCCCTTCATTTGATTGGTTGTGGAGTTTTCAAGTGAACTACCTGAGTTGCACTGGCCAGATGGGCTGCCACATAAATTAACCGAAAGGCATAAATGCTGGTACTGCACCAAAAGGAAGACACGCATTTCCTTCTGGAATCTGAATGGAGTTTTCCAACCAGCTGGACCACATTTCTTCTGCCAGAGCTCACTCACCTTCTGTTTGACGTCAAAAGGCATTGAGATAGCCAAGGACCAATACAAGGAGAACTGCATGAGGTAGTAGACATAAAGGCTTGGATGGAGAGGCTGCAATGGATAAATGAAGAGAAATGGTGTCATTTAATCCCAATTTTCAGCTTCCCAAGTGAAGACAATATCCTAGTACTGTGTTCATGGTGATTGGAGCATTCTAGGAGTTGAAGTCCACATGTCCAAAAGTTGTCAAGTTTGAGAAATACTGTGCTAGAGAGCCCCCATGTGCAAGGGGCTTTTCTTAACATTTCATTCCTGAAAAGGATCTACCCAGACCGATTTCTTTTTGTCCTGTCCTCAGGTGCTATAGAGAATAAATCTACCCTGTGATGACCCTTCTAGTCCTGGTAGACTGTTTCCAAGTCTCCCATCAGCCTTCTCTCCATTAGCCTAAACCAGAGGTGTCAAACTCAAGGCCCACGGGGTGAATCTGGCCTGTGGGGTGCTTAGATCTGGCTCGCAGGGCCACCCTGGAAACAGTGAAAATGGGCCACCCACTGCCAGCGAAAATGGACCCTGGGAGGGCCTTCACAAGCTCCATTTTCACTGGCAGAGGGTTGCAGGAGGCTGTTGCAGTTGGATATGGAGCTTGAGTGGGCCACAGCAAGCTCTGGTTTTGGTGGCAGAGGATTGCAGAAGGCTGTCACAGTTGGAAATGGAGCTTGGGAGCCCATTTTTGCTAACAGAGTGCTCAAACCGTCACAGGCAGACCCAACATGAGTGATGTTGAGCTGGTCATGCCTACCCCAGCCCCAAGATCAAACACACCCCTAATGTGGCCCACAATATAATCAAGTGTGACACCCCTGCCCTAAACATATATACAGTAGTTCCATTGGTCATTCGTCATGCAATTTATCCTCTGGACTCCATATCATCTTTGTTGCTCTTTGCTCACTTTTTCTAGGGCCTCAACATCTTTTTGGCATAATGATAATTAGAATGAGACATGGTATCTCAAATGTTAGCAATTCCCGCCATTTAAGTGTCATTCACAAATTTGAGGAACACCCCTTCCATATCTTCATCTAGGTCATTGATGAAGAAGTTGAAGAGCACTAGGACCAAGACAATATTTTGAGGTGCCACCACTGCATGGTTCTCTCTATCTAGACATTGTTCCATTGAGGACCACTTGCTGAGTGCAGTTGCAAATGCATCTGATGTTGATGCTGTCTATCCCACATTGTTCTGCCTAACAAGAAGGAGGTGATACTATATTAGAATAACAGAGTTGAAAGGGATCTTGGAGGTCTTCTAGTCCAACCTCCTGCCTATACCATTTTATTTATTTTATTTACTTATTTATTTTGTCAAGCGATTATTAGATTACAGGTATAAGTGTAAACATGGTTATGAATACATGAAATGGATTAGAATAAAAAAAAAAGAAACAATAGGACAGGGACGGTAGACACATTGGTGCGCTTATGCATGCCCCCTCTCAGGAAAGGAGTGATGTCAATAGTAGACTGTTTCAGGTTAAAGTTTTTGTGGTTTGGGGAAGAAACCACAGAGTCAGGTAGAGTATTCCAGACTTTGACAACTCTGTGGCTGAAGTCGTATTTCCTGCAATCAAGTTTGGTGTGGTTTACCTTGAGTTTGTATCTATTGTGTGCTCTTGTATTGTTATGGTTGAAGCTGAAGTATTCATTGACATGTAGGACATTGCAATATATAATTTTATATACTATACTTAGATCGGACTGAAGGCGGCTAGGTTGTCTAGGTCTAAAATTTCAAGTCTGGTGGCATAAGTTATTCTGCTATGAGTAGAGGAGTGGAGAACTCTTCTTGTGAAATATTTCTGGACTTTCTCAACTGTATTAATATCAGATATATAATGTGGGTTCCAAACTGATAAGTTGTATTCGAATATTGGTCTAGCAAATGTTTTGTATGCTCTAGTTAGCAGTCTGATATTACCAGAGAAAAAGCTATGCAGGATTAGGTTAGGATTAGTTTTAGACAAATTTGTATCCAATCTCTTCTTAAAATCTTCTAGTGTTGGAGCATTTACAACTTCTGGAAGCAAGTTGTTCCACTGATTAATTGTTCTAACTGTCAGGAAATTTCTATTTAGTTCTAGATTGCTTCTCTCCTTAATTAGTTTCCATCCATTGCTTCTTGTCCTGCCCTCAGGTGCTTTGGAGAATAGTTTGACTCCCTCTTCTTTGTGGTATCCCCTGAGATATTGGAACACTGCTATCATGTCACCCCTGGTCCTTCTTTTCTTTAGACTAGACATACCCAATTCCAGCAAATGGTCTTTATATGTTTTAGCCTCCAATCCCCTCATCATCTTTGTTGGTCTTCTCTGCACTCTTTCGAGAGCCTCAACAACTTTTTTACATCATGGCAACCAAAACTGAATGCAGTATTCCAAGTGTGGCTTTACCAAGACATTATAAAGTGGTATTAACACTTCATGTAATCTTGATTCTATCCCTCTGTTTACATAGCCTAAAATTGTGTTGGCTTTTTTGGCAGCTGCAGCATAAGGCTGGCTCATATTTAAAGGTTATAGTCTACTTTATCAAATGCCTTTCTGGAGTCTAAGTATACTATATACACAGCATTTCATTGGTCCACTGATTTAGTCATTTCATCAAAAGAAGGCAATAAGATTTGTTTGGCATCATTTGCCTTTTACAAATGCATGCTGACTTTTCGTAATCAATTTATTCATTTACAGGTTCCATTACGTGTGCCTGCGTTATCATCCCTATTAATTATAATTATGTCCAATATAGCTGTTGCTCCAGTTCCCTCCTCCATCTTTTGGATGATAAATTTGTCAGTTAGGAAAGTCAGAAAAGTCCAATGATTTTGCCCAGGGCATGCTGATGATTTCCTTACACTTGGCATCATGTGGTATTTCTTATTACTGCTTAATCACTTCCTTTTCAGCTGCAAGAACAGGAAAGAATTGAATTCCTAAAGCTTGGGCAAATGTCATGTTTGGAAAGTCAACATGGGATGGATTGCACTTTCACATTATTTTTGCAAAAGAGATTAGTAATTGATGCACATTTTTCCCTTGAAATGTTTATTCGAATGTCTCCTGATGACTCACCTTCAGTGGGAACCCAACCCAACATTCGCGGATGTTCCAGAACCAGGGTTTCTGCAAGAAGACACTGTTAATTAGTAATAGCATCATACCAGCCCACCAACACTTCTTTAGACCTGACATGAAGGGGAGGGTGGAAGAGAAAGGAGACCACAAAGCAACTGCAGTCACTAAGATATTAGAAAGAGTTGAAAAATGGACCCTTTTTTGCTCATCAAAAATGTATCACTAAATGTTAGGAGGTGGGAGACAGAGAAGGTCACACCCTGGATTATACAAGACTAGGATGGTTTTTTTTGACAATAACCAACAGAAGTAGGGAAAGTTGGCACTCACATCATAAAGGACAGCCAATCCCATGAAGACGAAAATGAGGGAGTGCACGGTTCTCCAGCTGGAAACCAATCAGAAAAAAACATGAGGGTCTTGGACAACAGGCTGGGCAATCCAGAGCTTCTAATGCTAGAAGGGAATACAAAGTCCAGGTGACAGAGGATTGTGACTGCTCCTCACTTCCACTTTCTAAACAATAACTTTTCCACCCTTTAGCCTTTCTTCTACTTGAACCCCTTGGTCCAGATTCTGATCTCTAGAACAGTTGAATAGATCTCTTCTCTTCCCTCAATGTGTTTAAGCCCACCTGGAGGTTTATCTGTGTCTTCAGGGTGACCTGAGTTATGCAAATGTAGGTGGAGATTTGATGGCCTCAAAAAAGGCATATGATCAGCTGTCTGCAAGGTGTATAAATCCTTCCATTTCCCACCAACCAGGCAGAGCTGAAGAAGCTTCTTGGATGAGAAGCTAAATGTCCTCAAAGAAAAACCAGAAAATCCAGTTGCCTCTTGAAAAAAAAACCTTTGGGACCCAACAGATGTGCTCTCTGACAACCTGTTGGGTCTTCCACTGGTTCGGAGGCCAAAACATATTGCTACCAGTAGTGTTAAGATGCTGAAGGGAGATGCTTTCCTTTGCATCACACAAATGGTCTTCTTTTTAAAAATATAATTTTAATAAATTTATCAAAATATAAAATGAAAATAGTGGAAAAATGGTGAAGGAAAAAGAAAAGAGAAAGAAGTGTCTTCCTTTTTTTTGGATAGGCCCAATGTTCAAGTCTCTCAAGATTTTTCTGGATCTTGAACCTATCTTCTAAAGTTTTTGCTATACTCACTAGCTTGTTCTCATCTGCAAATTTGATGAGTTCCCCATCTGTTCCCTCATCTAAAGCATTGATGATGATGTCAAAAAATACTGGACCCAAGAAAGAACCTTGGGAAACTGGACTGCATACCTCCCTCTGATATAGTTCCTTTGAGGACTAAATGTTGAATGTGCTGTATCAGCCAGTTACAAATCTCTCTGATGATGATGATGTCTATTCCACATTTTCCTCTCTTATCAAGTAGTAGGTTGTGGTCTACTTTGTCAAATGCTTTATTGAGGTCCTAGCATACTATACCCACAGCATTTTGCTGGTCCACTAATATAGTCATTTTATCAAAGAATGCAATAAGATTTGTTTGGCAAAATATGTTTTTGACAAACACATGTTGGCATTTAGTTAGAACTTTGCTTGTCTCTAGGTGTTCCCTGATTCACTGCCTGGTAATCTTTTCCAGTATCTTCACAGGTATTGAGGGCAGGCTGATAGGTCTGTAATTTCCTGGATCCATTTTTTCCTCCTTTTTTGAAGATGGGAACCACGTCAACTCTTTTCCAGTCCTCTGGTAGTTTCCCCAATGCTCCAGGATCTTTGAAGATACAGTTCAGTGATTCTGAGATCACATCTGCCAGCTCCTTCCGAACTCCGAACATGGACCACACATGAATTTCCCTGCCCCAAGAGTTTCCACTCACCTGGCTTCACAGAATTTCTTGGTTAAGCTGGGCTGGTTCTGATTCAGCCTGTATCGGAACCACCTCTCTACCTGTCTTGGTTGGAGGTCGCACTGTTTGGCTAAGCCACTGACTTCTTCCTGAATGTCAGGAGACAGAACCAGGTGAGAAAAGCTGCAAAGGCACTACAGGAGTCCATGACAAAAAACCATAGTGAGATAAGGAAAGATATAGGGGAAGTGAGAAATGATATGGGAGAGATGAAAGAAAAAAATTCAAAATACAGATTGAAAAACTTGAGAATTTCCAACAAGATAACAAAAAAATGAGCAGAGAATTCAGAAAATGGAAGAAAAATCAGAACAAGTAGAAGAAAAAGTGGATGATATTATAAATTATAAATTGACACAGGCAAATAGAGCTAGAAAACACCGTGATATTGTTGGAAACAGAAAAAGCTGCTCATTACCTGAGATTCCAGAATATAGTAGAGGAGGAGGAGAAAATGCAACCGGCCCCAATTTTTAATTTTTCCTCAATTTCTCTGTGTTATGAATACACATGCAGGATATGGGGAGGGAGAGAAAAACAGAGAGGTGGGTCCCCACACTTCTGACCTTTCAGAAAAGTGTGAAGACCTGGCTCTGACAACTTGTATAGGGCTTGAAGTGTGCCATGCAAACCTGGGGGTGATGAACACCTTAAAGGTGCACCATTCACCTTTCTATTTTTACCTTATTCTATCTTTATATTAGGCTCCTATTTTACTGATGCATTTTACTTTCCTATAATGTTTATGTCAACTTGTGAAGCATTTCTTTTTTTTTAAGTTTTATTGTTTTTTAAGAAAAACAAAGACAAACAAAACATAAAAACATCAACCCATCTTCCATATATATACATATAGTGTGTTGGTTGGTTTACAAATTGTTTTGTGCTTCCACTTCGTAGTCTTCAATTACAATTACGTTGTATATATTCTCATATTGTCAATCAAATATTCCTAAATCCTTCTTTTAGCAGCTGAATTAAATCTGTTTATGTTAATTTTAATCAGTTTTTTCTCTTCCATGTTTATCCTTTATAAGTAGGTTTAGCAGCTCTTGTAGATCTTGGTTCATGTTGTTCCTTAACTTCCACCTTTCCGCCTACTGCACCTTCTTCTTTTTCAGTCGCTATTTGGCAAACCTCTTGGAATTCAATTTGTGACATTTCTTTTTCTGTCTCTTCCTCTCTCCCTCCAAAGTATTCAGTATAAAATGATTCAGCTTTCTCAATCGAGTCAATTCTGTGTCTCTGTTCTTGCCATGTGAACATTAAACCTTCTGGAATCAGCCATCTATAATTCACCTCTTTTTTAAGTAGGATTTTAGTCAGGAATCAGTATTCTCGTCTCACTTCTCTCACTCTTCTGGGCACTTGTTTCAGGACCACAATCTCCTTAACTTTATATTTCAATGTTTTCTCTCTTGCCACCTGTAATATTTGTGTTTTAATAGCTTTCTTTGTAAATCTGATGTGAACTTCTCTTGGTAAGCTATTTCTCATTGCATATCTTGTGAAGACTCAAAAAAACTCATCTATTCCATCCATCATCTTCTCTTTGGTTATCTCCAGAGCTTCAGCCAAGATTTCTATCATTATATCGCTAAGTTTTGTCCCTTTTCTTCCTCTGTTTTGAAATCTGAGATAAAATTCTGATCTATCCATCTCCTATCTCAGCATCCCACTTTTATCTTGTTCAACCACTGTTAATCTGTCATCAATATTTCCAATCTTCTTATCTCTTTGTTTATCTTCTTCTTCAATTTTTTTGAATTTCTCATCATACTTCATCATCATTTGTTGAATATTCTCCACCTTTTCATCAGTTTTTTTCTATTTTCCTTTCAGTATGCTCTGTTCTTCCTTGTATGCTTTGAATTCCTTGCATTATCATCTGCAATGTCACCTTTTCCTGTTCTTTTTCTTGCTGTAACATTGTCTGTATTGTGCATTGTCCTCCATATGGTGAAGAGCAAGAAGTAGGAATTGAAGAACCAGCTGCTGTTAGTTTCCTGCTCATTTCAAACAATTCAAAATCTTCAGGTTCTTCTAGAGTCTAGATCTTAATCCATTTGTGAAATGGCCAATTGTAAATCCAAGTAAAAATAGTGGGAAAAAAGAAACAAGATAGAAAAAAAAAAGATTTCTTTAGGTTCTTGTATACCGTAATCCAATCAATTAGTTAAATAGCAGTAAAAGCTAAAAAAAGGAAGGAAAAAAAAAAACATAGAGAAAGGAAAAAAGTGTTAAATCTTGTAGAAGGCAGAAAAATAAAAAGTAAAAAAGTAAAAAGTAAAATGAATTTCTTCAGGTTCTTCAGCAACTTAATCCAATTAAAAAGTCTTAGGTATGAAAAAGTATACCAAAAAAAAATGAAGCCACAAAAAAAAAAAAACCCAATATTGAAGGTAAATAAAAAATGCAGGAGAGGGAGAGAGAGAGAGAAAAAAAAAGCCTACTCCCTTCAAAAAAAAAGAAGGAAAACATTAATACTAAGACTTTTCCTTTAAAATAAAATGCAAAAGTAAAAATAAGCCTCCAAAAGCAAAAAGAAAGACAAAAGCAGGTTCCAAAAGTCCAGAGATCCAAATAACTATTACATATAATAAGCTGATAAGGAGGGGGTGTGAGGAATAGCCCAACTTTAAAAAGAGAAAAGGAACACGCTGCACCTATTTAGTTATCCAAGGCTTTTGTTAATTTTTATAGCTCTCTTCTCTAGAATCTTATCATCTTTTTTCTGTATACTTCAACACCAGACTTCAGCTACTGATAGAAACCCAGAAGAGTACCTGCAATAACACTCTCCCATGCTCTTCCCTCTATCTTATCAGACAGGCTCAAAGTCCTTGAAAAGAAGTCTGAATTCTTTCTCAATTTTGTCTGGTCAAAAGAGAAAAAATGAGAAACAATATTTCTAAGCCTCTAGTTGGCAGTGTTACAAACTTTTTTCTGTTTTCACTTTCCCCCTCCTTTTCCAAACAAATTATTATAAAAAAAATAATTAAAAAGGAAAAAGGGTTTAGGAAAAAAAAAAGGCTAAAAGGGGATCTCTAGCCTAAAATATTGTAAAGACAAAAAAGGCGAAGAAACAAAAATGAAAAATAAGATAGAAAAAAAGACCAGTCCAGTTCAAAGTAAAAAATCGTACACAAATAGTCCAGCAAAAAGAAAAAGAAAAAATTAATTTGACTTCCCATTTAAAATCGTGGCTTAATTACTTCTGTCTGAGATTTTACAGATTCTTTCTTTTCCTTAGGGTGTCCTTTTAAATCTTAAAGTAAAGAAAAACTTCTCACCAAACTGGCACATTTTCTTTTTCTATCCTCTTCTGTTTCGGAGCTGTCCCAACTTCAGCAGCTTTAAAGGCTGCCTCTTTGCCGCTGGCAAAAAGAGCTTCTCCTGGATCTACCAGGGACTTTGCAGTATCCCTGGGATTGACAGGATGTGCTTTATACATTCACCATCTCTTTGGGATGGTTTATATCCTTTTGGACTGTCCAGGAGCAAAGATATCGGCAGCGATGTCAGATCTCCCAAGATCGCATGCCGTATCTTCGCAATACCAGCTCCGCCCTCTCTTTCATATGATGTTTATGTCAACTCGTGAAGCATTTCTGACCTGCTCTCAAGTTGCCATAGGCCAGGGGGGTGGGGAATGGAACCTCACAGTTGCATCAAGGAACTTGCATTTCAGTCAAAACAAAGCATATTCCAGCTGGGAACGTCAAGGTCATCTCTAAGGAGACCCACAGTGGACAGAGGGTGTGATTTCTACAAACTGCAAAATTGCTTCATTGGTGAATGTGACTGATGACACATCTTCGGGGGAGGAGGAAACAGGGTCAGAGCCAAAGAGCAAATTAAGTGAGTTCAGAGTAGGTTTCATTTGGTCCATGCCAATGTGAAGTTCCTAATAAATAACTGGATTTCTTTTGAAGTTGGCCTGAGGCTCATGATTTAATTAAGGCATCAGTCGGAACCCTGACAGTTTATCCTCTGAGCTGCAAACTACCCATTGTCCCTCTGAGAGTAAGATGAGTGGATACCAACCTGCAAATTTGTGGAGAAGAAACTCACCTTTTGGGGATTTTTCCTCCACTTTGTGTAAAAAGCTTCCAGGATTGGGTTTGGAGAAGGTTTCCTCCTCACCTTTTCTTGCAAACCCAGTTTTTTGCTCAAGGGGATGGCAATTTTCCTGGAAAAGGCAACAGCTTCAGTCAGGCAAATGAACACTGGCTAAAAGTAAGGCTCTACACCAGGGATGTCAAACTTGTATTGTCACATTGACTTTTTTCCCTTAGGGATGGTCAGCACATGCTACATCCAGCCCTTGGGCCCAGAGTTTGACACCCCTCTTCTACACTTTGGCAGGAAAAATCAAATGTATAGGTACAGTTTAGGTGAAACTTGGCTTAATGCCAGTAATTGTGAGAGGGATCTCAAAGTCCTGGTGGACGATCACTTAAACATGAGCCAATGGTGTGCAGCAGCCACCAAAATAGCCAATGCAATCCTAGGCTGCATTAATAGAGGCATAGAATTATGATTACATAATGTTCTGGTACCACTTTACAAAAGGTGCCAGATTTTGACCTTCCTCACCAGCATTTGTCAACTCTGAACAGGATACATACCCAACATGGTGTCTGCCAGGACTCATTGTTTAAGTGGGGTCTGTTGTGGTTCGCTGGAAACCAGCACAGACAGCAGAGGTATTGGACAGTGAAGATGAAAGGGAACTAGTCAGGGAGTCTGGAGAGGACTTGGATGAGGGTCCTGCATCCAATGCAGGGATGGGGTCAAGTCCATGTGAGAGCGGGGTGCTGCCTTTGGAGCCTTTAGAGTCTGGCAGCAGTGAAACAAAGGACCCAGGGGAGCCTGTTCCCAGCGCACGTGTGCACAAAGCTGCTAGAAGGTGAGAGCAGCTGAAGTAAAAGGGGTGACTTGGGGCTAAGGCTAGGAGGTGATTGCCCCTCCCATAAGGGATAAAAGTCAGACCTCAATGACAAAAGCTTCGCAGGGAGCAAAGCAGTTCAGTAATCTCCAAGTCCTTCGTGAAGCTCTGTACTCTGGTTGTTTTTTTCTGGGTTTTTGGGTTGGTTTATGTTATGCCTTAATTGGATGTCTGTTTGTTGGCAGCATTCTACAGCACTGAAAAGTGTGCTCTTATCTGGAGGAACTATGTAGAATTAGTTTTGGCTAGGAATGCAAGTAATTTCAGGTGTCACATTAAAATAGGTTTTACTTTTAAAATCAGTTTGTGTTTTATTAAGTTTGACAAAGCTTGGGTCAGAACAGGGTCTTGTCTCTACCCCTCAGTGTGACTGTCTGGTGCTCCTCAACAAAACATCCATCACATGTGTCTGAATGTCCCTCAAGAACTTACACTGGCCCAACGTCTGATTTTTGCAACATGGAGCACCCTGTCCTTGAATGGCTGGGTGTACTGGACACTTGAACCACTATAAGTCATGTATTTGCCATAGGCTAAATAAAATAAAAACCACTTTACAAAGCCTTAGTAAGACCACAATTGGAATATTGCACCCAGTTCTGGTTGCCATGATATAAAAAAGATGTTGAGGCTCTAGAAAAAGTGCAGAAAAAAATTAACAAAAATGATTAGAGGTCTGGAGGCTAAAAGATATGAGGAACGGTTACAGGAATGGAATGCCTAGTCTAATGAAAAGAAGGACTAGGGAAAACATGATAGCAGTCTTCCAATATTTGAGGGGCTGCCACAAAGAGGAGAGGGGAGTTCAATCTATTCTGAAGGCAGAACAAGAAGCAATGAATGGAAGCTAATCAAGGAAAGAAGCAACCTAGAACTAAGGAGAAATTTCCTGATGGTTAGAACAATTAACCAGTGGAACAGCTTGCCTCCAGAAGCTGTGGGTGCTCCATCACTAGAGGCTTTCAAAAAGAGACTGTTGAGGTAATTCACCATTAGGAGAATGAGTGTGTACAGGGAGACGTATTTGAGAGTAGTGTTTGAACAATACACCCACAGCACAGAGATACGCTGTACAGTAAATGTAGGTTTTTACTTCCAGAAACATTTAGGCAAAGTTCAAAATAAGCAGTCCAAAAGAATTCACAGGATAAATCAGTCAGTTTTTAGTCCAGGGATAATCCAATAACAAAGTCCAATGTCAAAAACAGTTCAGTATCAGACTTATATCAAATCCAGGAATATCAGTCAATTAGAAAAAATGGAGGAATGGCAATACTCTCCAACAGAAGGAAACAGAGATACACTCATACTCTCTTCTGACACCCAGGTTTCTGGTTCCATCTTATGGCCGTTTGAGAAGCCACACCCAATTACAGTTTTGCATTTTCTGAAAGAGGCAGTATTAAAATGTCTATCCTGGTTTATATATTTCCAACCCAAATACCTGTTACGTGACTTATATTCCTAACAGAGATTAGACAGTCATTTACCTGAAATGGTATTGGGTCTTCTGCTCAAACAGGGGGTTGGACTAGAAGACGTCCGAGATCCCTTCCAACTCTCATTATTCTCAGTTCTCTATTCTAAATTTAAAAGGTCCTTGGCTTTCTTGTTCCATGGTCCATTCAAGAAGAGGCACATGAAACCAATGCAAAGAACATAACCGGCATTTTTAAAAAGTATTGAAATCTAACAAACTAATAATAAAAAATAGTTATACCGGAATGAAATAATTTTTAAATAATAGTGATTAGAATAACACTTAAAAAAACTGATAATATTAATATGCAGTAGCACAAATTCAACCTTTAACCTATTTAAATTGATGGATTAAATACTTGACAGAGAAGAAACATATTGCTCTGTATTCTTCACTGTAAGGACATTTAGAAAATGGACGAAGAGCATAAATTCCGTTTCCGGCCTCCAGAGGGCTTTCGGAGGCCAGAGAGGCCATTTTTGCCCTCCCAGAGATTTGAGGAAAGCCTCTGGAGCCTGAGGAGAGTGAAAAATGGGCTGAGGAGAGTGAAAAATGGAGGTTCTGGAAGCCTGGAAATGGACCCATTTCCAGCCTCCAGAGGGCTTCCGGAACTCAGGGTGGCCTTTTTTGCCCTCCCAGACACTCGAGGAAAGCCTCCAGGAGCCTTGAGAGGGTGAAAATGCTGACTAGGCCACGCCCACCCAGCAACCAGGCAGAGAACTGGTTGCTAAAATGTTTGAAGCCCACCCCTGCTAATATCCTAAATAGAAATAGAGCCCAGTTTGGAGTGGGTTGCCCTATTCCAAACAGAACCAGGGTTTAATTTGGGCATCATCCTAGGCTTGTGGTTCCTGGTTGATGAACAGGTAACAGCCAAGTCCAAGAGGGCCTTTGCCAACCTTCATGTTGGACCCCGATTGTGCCTTTTCCTGGACTGGGAAGCTAATACAAGCAACAAGCAATGTCAGACATAGTAATATTGTGACTGTGCTTTCCAGACAGTTTATAGTTAATTGGGAATTGGGATAGATAGTTAGTTAGGAATTGGGATCTGTTCTCTTAAGGGAATGCATTGCAGTTAAGGCATCCTGGGAAATGTAGTCCATGTCATGTGGTCACATCTATAATCCTGATTGGTCATTGAATTAACCCTTGGTAGGCTGGGGGAGGTTCCTTCACTCTTGCCTGGACCCCAGCGGCGTGCTGGTGCCTCACCTCCTTGGTCCTTTGTTATGGGGATGAAAAGATCACTATCCTTTTACATTATGAATTCAGCTATGCAAAGATTTGGACATTGAGATGAATCTAGATGTAACCGTGAGTTATATATGAGGATATCTGATGAACCAATAAAGAAACTTTGTATGGATGCCTTTCTAGAGTTATCTGTCTGCCTTTATACATTCAGTCAGTAATTATAAAGGACAGAACAGTGGCATCATACATTCTGTCACTTCTTCGTATTTTGTTTCAAATTTTAATAAAAGATAATATTTGAGCCAAAACACATTCTCCATTCATACATAATTCTATTTCAAATTTAGTATTATCATGTTCAAAAATGAAATCTGCTTTAAACTTGTCTAGTAATTGTACACAGGAAAATTAGTGAAATATATATCCTTTGGGTATCAAATCCCCCCTTAATTCTATTTTGAAATCTCCATAGAAAAATTCTACATGGTGGTGATGGCCATATTTTCAGACACAATCTAAGTTTATATCTGTTCTATGTCTTCCATATGGAACATTATACAGTATAATGTTCTGATAATATATAATATATAATATAATAACTGATAACATATATCTTGTATAAACTCTCTGTGCATTATACTTATATTCAATATGTTCATAAACACTCTGTACAGTTGTATATATTCCTTCCATAGATATACATTCTGTATATTCATAGATATTCTGTATATCCCTATATAGTTAGATATCTATCTGTCTGTCTGTCTGTCTGTCTGTCTATCTGTCTGTCTATCTGTCTATCTATCTATCTATCTATCTATCTATCTATCTATCTATCTATCTATCTATCTATCTATCCTTCATTGTTGTTTTGCACTTCTGGTTAGATGCTAACTACATTTTGTTGTGTTCATGTGCAATGACAATAAATTTGAATCTAATCTAATCTAATTTAACAGTGTGACTTTTGAACTCTATATTGATCTTTATCAAAGCATAATTAACTGTGCCACCCAAATCTCAAACCATGCCTTTCTAATTCACATAATAGCAATAGCACTTAGACTTATATTACGCTTCACAGAGTTTTACAGCCCTCGTTCCAAACAGTTTTACAGAGTCAGCCTCTTGCCTGCCACAATCTGGGTCCTCATTTTACCCACCTCAGAAAGACTGAGTCAACCTTGAGCCTGGTGAGATATGAACTACCAAATTGCAGTCAGCAGAAATAGCCTTCAGTACTACACTCTAACCACTGCACCACCATGGCTCATAATAATCCCATGTTCAATTTCCCTTGATTCTCATATTTGTCAACCTTACAAATTCAGTACATCCAAAATGATTGCTAAGGTCAAAAGGGACATTCCACGGTTTCAAGTATTTGGGTAGAAGGGGAAGGAAAGGGCTCCCCAAATAGATGTGTGGGGGGGTGTTGTCTCCTCCTTCCACCACTGTTTGGTTTTGGCTGAAAGAGCAAAATGCAAGAACTTACCTATAAAACAAGACCCGAAGCATGATCAGCAGGAGAGCAATGGGGAGGCAGAGGAGGAGGTGATGGGGTTGGGGATAGAGGATGTCCTCAGTGTTCTGCATGTCCTCCCAGGTGATCCCTGGAGGTAGCCAGTGTTCCTGTCTCAAAAGCCACTGCATGAGCTGAGCCATCTCCCTGGAAAGAGAGAAGAAAGGCAAGGGGTGAGATGGAACACTGATAACGTGTTTTCAGAAGAAGGGTCCCCTCTCAGTGCACCCTACTGTAGAAAGTTAGCACCCATCCCCTTCCCAGAAGAATGAAATATTTTGGGTCCTATTAAAAAAGGCAGAATATTATATTTTCCTAAATGAGAAATGGAGAAACATGTTTTTTAGAGGCAGAAAGCAGCTCCCTCCTTTTCTTCATAGTCCATAGCAGATGCCAGTACTTAAGAGATAAAGAGCTTATTGAAAGAATACGGGTATCTAGATAGCTCTATTCATAAGCAAATAGCCCTCACTCAAGATCCTACACAGGACGAAAGTTATTAAGCCATAATAGGAATTGCCCAACACCCTTTCAGAACACAAGCCCCTTCATTGCATCAGTAGTCCAAACCTCAACCAAACTTAGCTCAGACAAACACCTAGGATTTTTACTTTGCCTATAGATTACTCCAACAACAGCCAATAGAATACGTGTTTTTGCACAGGAAAAGGAAGTTCAAGTGCAAAGCCCAAGAGAACGTATAAATACCCCCCACTCTCAACTCCATGTGGTCAGCTGCCAAGAAATACCAACATTGTCTGGAGCTGAGTGTGTCCTGTAAAAGCAGCTTTAGCTAAGTTTCTCTTGATGTTCCACAGCTGATCTTCTCAATCCATCCCCCACTCACTGGAGACACCACAGAAAGCAAAGGTGGCAGTTGGTAGTAGCCATCATCTCTTGACTCGTCTCTTGGCTCATAAATTCGACATAACACAAACACAAGCAAGAGAACATATTGATAGCAGATTTTAAAAGATTTCATTTTAGTAAACTGAGAGAAAATTTGGGAAAGACTTCTTAGAAGAAAATCCTAAAGAAGAAAACAGTTCAAGAATCTTGGGAAACTCTGAAAAGCACAATCTTAAAAGCCCAGGCCGGCACAATACCACTGAGAAAGAAAAACAGGAAATCCAAGAAGAAACCAGCATGGCTGCACAAAGATCTCTCTGACAAATTGAAAGACAAAAAGGACAAGTACAAAAAATGGAAAGAGACACATACAACTAAAGCAGAATATTAGCAGATAGCCAGAGCACACTGAATACCAGACAAGGAATAATGGATGAAAACTGATCCAGGAGAGATTCAACCTGGAAATAAGAAATTTTCTGACAGAGCAATCAACCCGTGGAACAGAAGTTGTCTTTGGAAATTGTGGGAGCTTCATCACTGGAGGCTTTCAAGAACAGACTGGACTGCTGTTTGTCAGAAATGGTGCAGGGTCTCCTGCTTGGGTGGGAGGTTGGACTAAATGACCTACTAGGCCCCTTCCAACTCTGTTAATCTGTAATTTTTCAAGATGCCATTTCTTACCCAAGCTCTCCCAAAGTGCAGAAGTATTAGAAGTTGCAACTGGAGAACCTCTGGTTGACTGAGAGAACATCTCTGGGGTTGACATGGACCCCATAAGTTTGGCCAAACTTTTTGTTCAAAATCATGAGAAAAGCTTTGGCTCCTTACAGTGCAAGAAACAACAGGACACAAAAGGGATGGAGCATGGACTGTAAGAGGGCACAAGGCTTATTTGTCAACCTGCCCCATCACTCCTATATATCCAGGAAGGCCACTATTTTATTTTATTTTATTTTATTTTATTTTATTTTATTATTATTATTTTATTTTATTATTTTATTTTATTTTATTTTATTATTTTATTT